CTAGAGAAGTGAGAGCCAGGACAGGAATAGATACATGCACACTCATGTTCATCACAGCACTATTTACAATAGCAAAAAGATGGAAACAACCTACGTGCCCATCAGCAGAAGGGTGGATGACCAAACTATGGTACATACACATACTGGAATGCTATGCAGCACTAAAGAATAATGTAGAGTCTGCATAATATGGATGAACTTGGAGGACATTATGCTGAGTGAAATAAGTCAATCACAGAAGGACAAATATAGTACTAGTTCGTTATTGTGGAGGGTCAAGGAAAGGTTTATCTACGGAGGGAAACTTTCTTTGTTGGTTGCCAAGGGTGGGAGGGGAGCAGAAGGAACACTGCCAAAAAAAAAAAAAAAAATGCATTGACAAAAAAAGTATCTTAATTATTAGTTATCTCCATAATGAATACTTACCTTGATACTCAAGGTAATAACTGTTTGAGATGTCAGCATATATTCTTTCCTATTAAATGATTTACAATGATATTGGGCCTTTCACCTAATAGACTTGCCATAAGAAATAATCTAATTGCATTTTCTTTCTCATCTTCACTTTGCATTTACTGATAAGAATTTGATTTTTAAAATAACTGTGAAGAAAATAATTCATTGCTATTTTAATGTGGTAAATTACTTATAAAAAACAAAAACCCAAATTCACTGCCATCCAGTCCTATCCAACTCATAGTGCCCCCTCCTTGGGTTTCTGAGGCAGTATCACTATGGTAATAGATTGCCCAACCTTCCTTCTGAGGAGTGTCTGGTGGGTTTGAACCGCCAGCCTTTTAGTTAGCAATCAGCCTTAGGCACTATGCCACCAGAGCTCCTAAATTACTTACAGGAGCCATACATCTATTACAAGCTTATTCAGTAATAAAGACCGCTTTCATGAAAGAGTTTTGTAAACCTGTCTCATTACTTTATAGTTGTGATATTTCATCCTCTACCCATGATACTGATTATATAACTATGAAGATTTTTATTAAAAATCTCAGAAGTAATTAGAAAAGGTGATTTCAAACAGGACTGTGTTTCTAAAATGAGAGTACCAAAGAACCAGCATTAAGTGTCTCTGGTAGAACTAAAGCATAAGCAAAGGGGCAAGTCAAAGAAGGAAAGTTAAAAGCAATGATACAAAATGGGTCAAAGTTAAATATGAGCTAAAACTATAAAACTGTTCAAAGAAAACATGAATGTAAGTCCATGTTACCTTGTTTTGGGTAATGGTTTCTTCAATATAATACCAAAAGCTCAAGTCACCACCACAATCAACAACAAAAATCAGCTAAATTAGACTTTAAACACTTATAAATCTCAAATGGTACTATCGTGAAAATGAAAAGACAAACCACAGAATTTGAGCAAATTTTTCAAATCATGTGTTGTGTAGTATTCATTGTATGTATGTACTATAGTTTGTTTATCCATTCATCCTTTCATGAAAACTTAGGTGGTTTTCATCTTTTTGCTATTGTGAATAGTGATGAACATGGGTGTGCATGTGTCTACTCATGTCCTGGCTCTCACTTCTTTAGGATATTTACCTAGTAATGGGATTGCTGGATCATGTTATTTCTTTTTCCAACTTTTTAAAGGAGTACCATACCACTTTCCACAGTAGTAGTGTTATTTTATAGTCCAACCAGCACAGTGTATGAGGGTTTCAGTCTCTCCACACACTCACTAGCATTCATTCTCTGTTTTTTAGAACTTTGCTATCAATTCTGGGGTGAGATGATACCTCGTTGTTGTTTTTGATATGCATCTTTCTAATGTGTAATGATTACGAGCATTTCTTCATGTGTTTGTTAGCTACCTGAATGTCTTCTTTGGTAAAGTGTCTGTTCGTGCCCTCTGCCCATTTTTAAATTGTTGTTGAGGTGTTGAAGTTTTCTATAAATTTTAGAGATTAGTCCCTTGTTCCGTGTGCCCTCGTTAATTTTTTTTTTCCCAGTCTAGGACCTCTTTTTATTCTTTTGGAGATGTCTGTTGATGTGCATCAATGTTTCATTTTTAGGAAGCCCCAGTTGTCTAATTTGTCTTCTACTGTTTTGTGCATTTTTGTTATGTTTGATATTTTATTTATGGCATGTATTAGGGCCCCTAAGTTTGCCTCTATTTTTACTTTGATGATCTTTATGGTTTTAGGTTTTACATTTAGGTCTTTAATCCATCTTGAGTTAGTTTTTGTATATGGTGTGAGATATGGATTGTTTTTCATTTCTGTACAAATGGATATCTGATTTTGCCAGCACCATTTGTTAAAGAGACTACCTTTTCCCCATTTAAGGGGTTTTGGTCCTTTGTCAAAGATCAGCAGTCCATAAGTGGAAGGATTTATTTCTGAATACTATTACTGTCAGTTTGAGTATTTGCAAGGCAAATCCCACATGCCATCTCATGTTAAATACTTCATGAAATATGTACTTCTAGGACCCAGTAAATATTTGGACAAATTACTCCTTGGCTAAATTTCCATTTGGTTTCAGGTGGTGAGAGCTGCTGAGGAAGCTGCGTCAGTGTTGGCCACTTCAATCAGTCCAGAGCAGTGCATCAAAGTACTTTGTCCTATCATCCAAACCGCAGACTACCCAATTAATCTGGCTGCAATCAAAATGCAAACAAAAGTGATAGAGAGAGTGTCCAAGGAAACCCTTAACCTACTTTTGCCTGAGATTATGCCAGGCCTAATACAGGTAAGCTATACGCTTGATAGAATAAGGTCTGATATGTTTGTGTTTCGGTTGTTTTAAGCACTTTCCAGTCCATGCCAGTGGCTTGTCCAAGTCATCCTGCTGTTTGTAATGTTTACAACAAAGACTTTACTGGCTTTTGATTGTTACTGTGTGCTGTCTAGTTGCTTTTGACTCCTAGTGACCCTACCATACAGTGTAGAACTGCCCCATTTGTTTTACAGGCTATACTCTTACTCCCATGAAGGAACTGGGAGTAAGATTTTTCAGTTAGCAACCAAGTGCTTAATCATTGCACCACCAGGGCTCCTTAGCTTTCGATTGCAGATATCTAAAATGTCTCTATAATTCCCCTTTGTGTGTAAAGTAAATAATATTTTAAGTAGGTGAGGAAAAAATATGCCCTTAATGTACTCTGCTCTTGGTAGACTTTATTATTTCTAGAAGACATTGTAGAAGGAGAGTCGAGACAAATTATAAGATCATTGTGGTAAATATTCTGGATGTCTTTGATGTTATGTTTATAAGAAGTTTATTGAAAATGAATTCATAGGCCTGCCTTTTCATTGTTAAAAGGACAGTAAGGACACAAATTGAGGGTCGGTAACTTCCTGCTAGGAATACTTGTATTTTTTTCAGTGCTTCTACATTAAACACCAAGTTCCTCTTCCTGATCTAAACCTTTACGCCTTTCTTGCCTGTACCTCTTCTTTCATGTACATGCTTCAAGAACATTTATTGAGTAGTTTTTATATACTAGACACTACTATGCACAGGCAGTCCCAAAATGACTATTACTCCTATGTGCTTTTGAGGTGATGGCACTTCAAAGGGGATAAAAGAAAAATACAAAAGACAGCTGATGCGGTGAGATGACAAGAAATGAGGGAAAGGAGTTATCCAAGACATTGCTGATTTTTTTTTTTTTTTTTTTTAATTTGGGTGACTGAGAAAATGGTGATCCTACTAACGGAAGAAAAGTAACATAATTTGAAGAACTGGTGTAGATGAGAGTCAGATGACCATGAGAGGTCACACTGAATTCCCAGTGATGTTTTACCTCTCAGAAGGCATTCAGCCTGTACCATATTCTGAATTCACCCATAATACCACCATTTGGATCAGTGTCCTCCTAGTTCTTTTTTTCCTCTCTGTTGTTTAGTTCTTTTAAAAGACTTAAATAAAACAAACATACTGAAAAATGCAAAGGATAATTATCTATGTGTTTTCCATCTTCAGATCATTTCATTGAAATTAATACAGTATAGGTATAGTTGAAGTATAGGTATACAGTATAGATATAGGTATAGTTGAAGTTTCCATGTTACGTACTTACTCCTCAGAAACAACCTCTACTCTTACTTTGTTCTAAAGCCAGACCATATTTTTATATTTTTCCTAGGTGTAGATTTTAAGTGTACAGCAATACATAACATTGTTTGGTGATATTTTCCTGGTAGAAAATAATTTAATGTAAAAAAAGAAACTTGCTTTTTTCCAGTCAGCATTATATTTTCAGTTACTATTCAAATCGATGGATATATATCAATTGATTTAGTTCATTCATCTTAATATATGGTTACTAATTACATCTTAGGAGCTGTGGTGGCATTGTGCTTAAGGCATTTGACTGATAACCAGAGGGCTGGCGGTTCAAACCCACCAGCCACTCCTGGGAAAGAAGGTTAGACAATCTGCTTCTGTTGTGATACCACCTCAGAAACCCAAGGAGGGATCTCTATGAGTCTATAGTAGCATCTGCTCTTTATTCTGTCTGCATTGTTTTTAGATGTGCCCATGTTGATACTTGTGGTTCCAGTTCATTCATTATAGCTATTGTACCACTGAGTGATGAATATATCATGATGTATTCATCCTCCTATTGATGGGAATGTAGATAGCTTACTTTTTTTTTTTTTGCACTTATGAAAAATGCTTCAATGAATGTCACCATATGTGTATGTCTGTGTAGTACTTACGGAAGAATTTCTCTTTACTGATCTAGGATACTTAGTATGGGGCTTGTACATCCTCAGATTCACTAGATACTTGCAATTAGTTATCAACCAAGCTGTAGTTGGTTGAACCAACTTATAACATAATAAAATTCGATAGCAGTGAGTTTTTGAGTTTAATTACATCTTGTCAATATCCACACCCTGTTAGTAGATATTTGGATTGGGGTAACCAAACGTTATATAAGCTTGGAACATTATGTAACTTTTGATGAAATACGATAGAAAGTGTAAGCACTACCTACAAAAGACTGTTGCTGAAAATAGTTGATCTTCAACCTGATAAAGCCTCTAGATTTTAACTATAAAGTTAAAACAATTTCAGAGCATAGAGAAATTGTCCATTGAAAGCGTACTCAGTCAAATCCTGAATGCAGGAAAAATGATCAAATGCCTTCAGTAAAGAAGTGACATGAATAGAGGGAGAGAGGGGACTGACAACTGTTATCAATTTAAAGAGTCTTCAAAGACAAACTTGAAGAACAACAACAGAATTGTGGGACTCACAGTCCAAATTTCAAAATTTATTATAAAGCTACAATATAAAACAGTTCAGTATTGACATAAGCATAGGCATATAGACCAACGGAGTATAATTGAAAATCCAGAAATAAATCCATATATCTATGGTCAATTGATGTTCAACAATGTCAAGACCATTCACTGGGGAAAGAATAGTCTTTTCAACAGATGTTTCTAGAAACTGGATAGCAACATTCAAAAAAATGAAAATGGATCAAAGGCCTAAATGTAAGAGTTAAAACTATAAGGTATAATACGAAAAATGCAAGCAGCAAAAGAACAAAGAGCTAAATTGGACTTCTGAATTTTTAAATTTTGTGCATTAAAGAACAGTATCAAGAAAGTGAAAAGTCAACCTACAGAATGTCAGAAATTTTTTCTTAAATCATCGAAAAAAATTCATTGCTGTCGAGTTGGTTCCAACTCATAGTGACCCTTTCTTGGGTTTCTGAGGCAGTATCACTATGAAAGTAGATTGCCTAACCTTCCTGCCGAGGAGTGGCTGATGGGTTTGAACTGCCAGCCTTCTGGTTAGCAGTCAAATGCCTTAGGCACTATGCCACCAGAGCTCCCAAGTCATATATCTGATAAGGATCTAATATGAAATATGTAAAGAGATTTTATAGCTCAACCACAAAAGGACATATATGCCAATTTAGCAATGAATGATCTGAACAGACATATCTCCAAGAATTTATACAAATAGCAAGCACATGAAAAGATGCTTAACTTCATTAGTCATTAAAGCAATGTAAGTCAAAACCAGAGTGAGATAGCATTTCACACCCACTAGATGGCTATAATCAAAAGAACAGAAAATAACAAGTGTAGACAAGAGGTATGAAGAATTGAAATGATTGAACATCTCTTGTAAAAATTTAAAGTCATGTAGTACTTGGGATAATAGTTTACCAGTTTCTCAGAAGGCTAAATATAAACTTACACATAACTCCACAATTCTACTTTTACATACATATCCAAGAGAAGTGAAAATTTATGTCCATCAAAGAACCTGTACACTAATATTCATAGCAGCATTATTCATAATAACCAAAAGGTAAATACAATCGTGAAGCTCATCAACTGATGAATGAATTTTTTAAAAAAAAGTGGTATGTCCATGTAATGGAATACTATGCAGTAATAAAAGAAGTACTGTTACATGCTACAGCATGAATGAACCTTGAAAATATTGAGACAAGCCAGTCATAACACAAAAAATGTTCTACAAAACTCAAAATCATTTAGAAAATTTTTTAAAAAAGGAGTGGAGGGGGACCAGGTTTGCTGGTCTGATAGAGCCTGGTGGAACCACTGAGACTATGGCCCCTAGCAGCCTTTCAAGTCTGGAATTGAGCAAACACCTGTGGCTTCCAGCCAAACAAAAGACAGGCATAGAAGTTGAACATTTACATTAGGTAGATACACTCCTTGGAGAGAACAATCATGGGAGAAAGAAGGGCTGTTTATGCACAGGGAGACAGCTCAGGGGGCAGGAGTGCATGGAGGGATGGACACAGGGAAGAGGTAACTATCGGGAGGAAGTAGGAGGGGAGCTGTTGCATTGGGGTAAATTGTAGTCCATGTCATGAGACAAAGAGTATGTGAACTGCCATATGGAAAGTGAATTTGCTCTGTAAACTTTCACCCAAATCACAATTTAAAAAAAAAAAGAAAGAAAGTGTTCTAAAATTGATTTTGGTGATTACTGCACAACTCTGTAGATATACTAAAAGCCATTGAATTGTACACTTTAAATGGATAGAATCTATGGTATGTGAATTATATCTCATTAAAGCTGTTAGTTTATTAAATAAAAGCACATTAACCAAATGCAATCTGTGGAGCTTGTTTGGATCCTGATTCAGCTGACTACAAAAAGACAATTTGAGACAGTAGGGAATATTTTAATGCAAAAAAATAAATAACCCACTGCCAGTGGGTCAGTTCCAACTCACAGCAATCCTGTAAGTCAGAGTAGAACTGCCCCATAGGGTTTCTTTTTCCCAGAGTGGCTAATGAATTTAAACTTCTGACCTTTTGTTTAGCAGCTGAATGTTTTAACCATTGAGCCACTAGGCCCGTTGATTTGAGCACAGGCCGGTGATATTAAGGTAGTAGTGTTAATTCTTTATGTGTGCATACTATTGTGATTATGGTGTATTTTTTAAGATTCTTATCTCTTGGAGTTTGTACTGAAGATTTATAGGTAAAATGAGAAGATAGAGGAATTTTCTTTAAAATATGCTGTGCATATACTAAAACAACAGCAACAAAGGAAATGATAACACGAGGTCATTATGCTGAGTGAAATAAGTCAATCACAAAAGGACAAATATTGTATTAGTCGGTTATTGTAAAAGTTAAGGAAAGATTTATCTATTAAAGGAAATTTTCTTTGTTGGTTACCAGGGGTGGGAGGGAGGGGGAGGGAACGCTGTTAGTTAGATAGAGATAAATATTGAT